AGTCAGACGCTTAACTGACTGAGTCACCCAGGCGTCCTCTAAGATTTATATTTTATATGAAAATATTTATATTTATATATAGATATATATATTTTTATATAAACTGACCCTGAAGATATGATGAAATATCATTATTGGAGCATATACTCAGCGAAAGAAGGAAGAATGAGGAGGACATAGCATCAGTCTGACAGTTGTGCAGCTGGACTGGTAACCTGTGTCCTCATACTGTTAGAGTCGGCAGTTAGTTAGATTCTAACAGGATACTTGGAGGCCAGCACTGAGGAAGTCATGGCCAACTGTTGGGAAGGTCAGAGGCCTGTCCTGGCAACATTCCACAATAAGCCAGATCAAACCAGACAGACCCAAGATGGTGGATGCCATGACAGGAAATAGCTAAATACCTGATCAAATTAGAATAAAAAGCTCTATACCCTGCTACCCACCCCAAGTAATGAATATTCCACCCCCTAGTTAACAACTGTCAATGAAAGAAACCAATCCCCTATGGATGCAGCTCTCCCTCTCTCTTTCTCTTACCTACTCTCATATCTTAAGAGTGTTCTTTTCACTTTAATAAACTTTCCCACCTGTGTTTCTTGTCTACTGTGCTATGTGTCTGTCTTTGAAGTCATTCTCATGACAAGACCAAGAGCTTCAGCAGCTCCTTCAGGTCTGGCTGGGTCAAGGGGTCTCCCCAGTTCACCAGGCAACAATACCAAGGGGGGTTTGTGGAAAACCTAGGATATCATAAAGTCAAAACAGTGAAAAATAGAAAGGCAACTAGGAATTTTTAAAAAGCTGTGCAATAAAAGAAATATAGTCTTCATATATCATTTGGCTCTGCAGTGAGCACTGTTTACATGGCATAGGGAAAAGGGCTTTCCGAGCTGCTGAAATGAGATAGGGATATTGTTGGGTGACATCTGGGCACTGCAATCATTATTGCCACCAGACAGATTCTGTCTGTATTGTGGGGGCCAAAAGGGCCCAGAATGTGTAAACATTCCTTTACATAGAAGTGCACAAATTTGTGTGTGTGTGTGTCTGTGTGTGTAAACTCTTCTGATTAGCTTATCTTGAGTATAAAAGCATGGCTCATGAAAGTTGAGTTCCTCCAACATACAAGGACCCACTCCAGGATCCTAGATGGGTAGCATGAGCTGTCTGATATACTGGATATACCAAGTTAACTTGCTATACCAGGACCCAGTAAGGCTCCGCTGAGCTATGCTGCACCTTATTCTGCTTTCTGTGGCTACCTTATTCTAATTAGATATTCTAAAACTTTGCTAGTTAAATCTTACCTAACCATATGTAAATGTTGCATGAAGTTTTCTCAGGGCATTTGTCATTTGCTAGCTTATGGCAGTGATAATTTGTCATTTGCTAGCCTATGACAGTGATAACTTCGCATTGTTTCCATTAGTTTCATATTTCTTTAGTTTTTACCTTTTTTGGTGTAAATGTTCAGATAAATAGACATTAAATATTATACATATGCTTTGTAAAATTAAAAAAAATATGTTTATTTATTAATTTTTGAGAGAGAGAGAGAGAACCAGTCCACAAGTAGGGGAGGGGCAGAGAGAGACACACACAGAATGTGAAGCAGGATCCAGAGAGCCTGATGTGGGGCTCAAACTCACAAACTGTGAGATCATAAGCTGAGCCTAAGTTGGACACTTAACGGACTGAGTCACCCAGGAGCTCCTTGTAAAGTCTTAAGTGTATTGCATGTAACACTTTCCTAAGAAAATGCTGAATGAAGATGTTCACACAGCCATATTGTAATTAATGAAAGAAATGACTTGTGTTACATCAAATGTTGAAATACTTGTGTTTATCTTAATAAAATTTGTGTTCTAGTATAAATTATATTAGACCTTAGAAATGTGTAAAACCTCCCCCCCCATGGAGATTAATAGTTTAATTAACTTACAATAAATGGCCTTAAGTCTTTTTGTTTTTAACACATTGCCTCATAATATGGGGAAGATGCTCTTGGTTTTTTTTAAAGTTTATTTTTATGTAATTTGAGAGAGAGAGAGAGAGAGAGAGTGCAAGCAGGGGAGGGGCAGAAAGAGAGAGAAACAGAGGATCTGAAGCTGGTTCTGTGCTGACAGCAGAGAGCTCATTGTGGGGCTCGAACTAATGAACTGTGACCTGAGCTGAAGTCAGATGCTTAACCGACAGAGCCACCCAGGTATCCCTGCTCTCGTTTAAAAGTCCTTAAAAGGAGCATCTTTGATGTGTCCTGGCTGGGTCCAAGGACCCAGAAGGGGGCTAGGAGACAGGGAAAGGGAAGGGAAGGAAAATGAGTCTTTTCTTTGCTTGGAGCCTGGGGGTTTCACTGAAGACAGTTGTCTGGCATACCTGTCTTCTCAGTAATCCAGGTGTCCTCCATAATTCACTTGTGCCCTGGAGCCAGGGGTCTTGAGTCATAGGTTGTGGGAAACTTTCATGTGACCCCACTAGGTTCTTAGATGTTATCTGTTGTATTGGAAGACTGCAAAGAAATAATTAAACCCTTGACCTTTACGAGGAGGACATACATTGTCTGTTCTCTAATGCCTGCATAAGGGAGGGATGTAGGTCCTAACAAGAATAGAAGCAGGAAAAGGAGTGGAAAAAGCAGCTTTTCATGGGGTCCCTTTAAGTTCTCCTGTTTTAGCCTGATCCCAGATCCTTTCCCTGATTCCATGTAGCCAAGTGACTCTCCTTCCCCCACCCAGGCAGAAATCTGGAAATGCGTTTTCTCAGACTGGCGAACCATAGATGTTCTTCTTTCAGGGACACCATGCACAGCGGAAAGGGCAGGAGTGACCCACCCAGTTCTAGAAAAGGATGCATACTGAATCTCCAGGCTCCTCTCCCTGCTCAGCCGTTCCTCCTACTCATGGAGAGCAGGGAATGTAGCCAGGGCTCAAGATCCTCTGGCTCCTGGGGTCCCAGATACACTAGGTTCGGCCACTCACCACTGACAAAAACCCATGGGCAGAGAAGCGAGCAGTGGGGAAACAAGAAAGGAATTTATTTCAGTGAGCAGACTAATGTCTCCAAGACTGTCTCAAAAATGATGAAAGTACTTCCAGGTTTATAAAAGGAAAATGTGGGATAAAGTGGGTGGGTATGTGCAGGTACCCAGTGAAGGTTAAAACGATCATTGTCTTGGACTCCATCACTGATAGGGTCTTGCTGGCTCAGGCCACTGCTTGTTGCTTGAAGGGGTAGTTTCGGTTCCCATCAGTGGATACTTTGCCCTATGGGTCTTTTACCTGAGCCAAGAGACAAGTTGGAAAGAAGGACCCAAGTAAAAAGTTTGAGGTCAAAATGGAGGCAGCCAGGGGCGCCTGGGTGGCTCAGTCGGTTAAGCGCCCCGCTTCAGCTCAGGTCATGATCTCACAGTCCGTGAGTTCGAGCCCCACTTGGGGCTCTGTGCTGACAGCCAGCTCAGAGCCTGGAGCCTGCTTCTGATTCTGTGTCTCCCTCTCTCTCTGACCCTCCCCTGCTCACGCTGTCTCTATCAGAAATGAAAACCTTATAAAATTTTTAAAAAATGGAGGCAGCCTAAGTCCTCTTTGAGAAGGACCATTCTTACACAGCACAGCAGTGCTCGGCTAGTAGAAGCCATGTCTCTGGAGCTATTCTAAGGAGTACGAGAATCCTCAGAGTAAAACAAAGTCTTTCCACATTGGCAGTCCCCAACAAGAGCTTCTGGGGATAGGGCGGGGACATTTGCTTGGATTGCAAATATGGAAGGAAGACAGATTGCGGCTGGCAGGTCTATCTGTACAGTGGGGTGCCCTGACATGTCTTTGAGGACTGGCAGAAGATGAGCTATAAAACAGGCAATAGGAAGGACGCCGAATCCACAGGGAAGGCTGCTGAGCCATGAACTGAAATGTTTCCAGGGGCGCTTGAGCGTCCGACTTCCGCTCACGTCATGCTCTGACGGTTGGTGGGTTGGAGCCCCGCGTCGGGCTGTGTGTGTGTGGAGTCTGTGACTCCCTCTCTCTCTGACCTTCCCCTGCTCACGCTGTCTCTACCTCTCTCTCTCAAAAATAAATTTTAAAGAACATTAAAAAAAAAATCTGTTTCCAGGGGGGACCTGGAACATATATCCAGGTATAGGGTGGGAAAGGGATCTAAGGCTAAATGTTAATTGCTCTTTCCCTAAACTGTGCCCCATATTGGAAGTCCCAGCAGCACTTGTATCTTCAAAAGCCAAACCACAATTAGAAAACAAAACAACTTGCAAGCACTTACTTTGCCAATCCACTAGCTCATTTAATTATCAAACCTCAAAAGCCCTTTGAAGTTGGTATCACTATTATACCCAGTTAGCAGATAAGGAAACAGGCAAAGAAATGTGCTGCTCCTCCCACAGCTAAGAAGAGGTACAGCGGGCCTAGGTAGTCAATAGTTTCAACCAATACACGACTGGCTGTTCAAGTGATGGGCCCCAGCCCTCTCCCCACTGCAGCGCAGCCACAGAACCCAGGCAGCTTTGGCGCATGTGGAGCAATGGTCCCTTCAAATACCTGAAAGGGCCTCCGGAAGCGGCAAATGCCAGGGAACCCTGCGTGATTCGCAGGATGCAACTCTGTGGCCCGAGCCGGCTCCACGACATCCCCCGGAGGAGCGACCGCGAGGGGGCGCTGCAGGGCCCGCGGCTGGAGCCGGTGACTCTGGCTCGGAGTTTCCCAGAGAAGAGACGGTGGCGGTCGGCGCCGGGCTAGGGAACCACGGAGGCCGGGAAGTTTCAGGTTCCTAGAGAGGAGGGGAAACGGCCCTACGTGCTTCCGGCGGAGCGGGTCCTAAGCTTTCCCGGGAGCCCGGGCTGGTCGCCTTCTCGCGCGTTCGCTGCGTCTGGGGCGCGCGACGCCCGTGGTCGCCTGGGCCCCGGGTCCGGGGAACGAGTTCTTCAATACCCGGTTCTCCAGTCCCTGGGCCTCTGTGGTGAGGGGGGCGGTACCAGGATTCAGGGAGCCCCTGGCGGACAGAGGGCGTTTGCGGGGTGCCCGGCAGCAGGGTCCTACCCGTCCTCGAAGCCCGAGGGCGCCGCGTGACACGGGGACCCACCATGCTCCAGCTCACGTGGCACCAGGTGAGCGCGCATCCTCTCCGCCTCCGTCGCCCGCCCTGCCCACCTTGACCGGCCCTCCCTCCCTCTAACGCCGCGAGACCCGACCCGAGCGAGCAGCTGTCAGCCTGCGTCCAGAGGGAGTTGGCCCGGCGTCCCGGGCCTGGGGTCCTTGGGCCCAGCGTTGGTAGAAACGAGACTGGACCCAAATTTAAAGCCACAAGAAAGGCTTTATTGGGGCTTATGCTCGAACACGGGAGAGCAGCCCAAGGGAAAGAACCCGCAGCCTGACCCTCCGAGGAGAGGTCAGGGGGAGTGTTTTTAGAGATACTTAGGTGGGAAGAGGGTGCTGTCTATGCAGGTAGGAGCAGGGATTTATTAGCACCTGCGCACCGAAAGGTCATGCATCGCATGCGTAATGAACACGTTATATCTCCACCCCCGGGCATGATTTTTAGTATTATAATGAGGGGGAAAGTGGTGGAGGTTCGTCCCTGGGGTGGATCTTGGAGCACAGTGGTTTGGACCGGTCTGGGTTTGCTCCTCGGCCGTCGCTTTGCTCTGCAAAAGCAAAGCACAAATAGGCGGTAGGGAGTTCTGCAAAAAAGTGCTAACTGCCAGCGGGCAGCGGAGAGTCTCCCAGGTGCACATGGGTCCTGTTCCCAGGGTTCCTCACGGTTTCCCAGGCTTGTATCTTTCATTTTGGATCTGTCACCATCAGGTGTGTTTGGACAGGGGAGGAGGAGTTGAGTAGGATGGACCGATGAGAATGCCCAAAGGAAGACAATCAGGGTGGAAAAACACGTGTAGTGGATGGATTGGGATACATTTGGCAATCGAGGCTGAGGAGTAGAAATTGACTACAAAGTGGAAATTTGCATCATTGCATACAGCGAATACCGTTTTCACTTCTGACGGCAAATTGAAGTCTTTCCTTGGATAAATTCTAGTATTGTTATTATTTTTTGGTAGATTCCATTGGATTTTTACGCAGACATGTCATCTACAAATAAAGACAATTTTATTTCTTTCTTTCCTGTCTGGATACCTTTTATCTCTTTTTCTTGCCTAACTGCACTAGCTCTAGCTAGTTCTAGCCTCCATTTCAATGTTTAGTAGCGGTGGTGAGAGCAGCTATCTTTGTCTTATTCTTGACCTTAGGGCAAGCATTCAATATTTCACCATTAAGTATCATCTTCACCATGGGTGTGTCCTCCCCCGCCCCCTCTCCCGTAAGTGCCCTTTATCAGATTGAGAAAGTTCTCTTCTATGCCTAGCTTCCTGCAGGAATGGATGTTGAATTTTGACAAATGTTTTTTCTATGTTGGTTGAGAGGATTATATGATTTTTCTGTTTTACTTTCTTAATATGGCAAATTACATTGATTTTTTTTCCCAAATATTCAACCAACCTTGCAGTCCTTGGATAAAAACTACTTGTTCATGCTATATTATTCTTTGACTGTATTTTGGATTCTATTTTGTTAAATTTTTGTTTAGAATTTTTGCATCTATGTTTGTAAGAGGTATTGATCTTCAGTTTTCTTTTCTTGTAATGTCCTTGTCCCATAGAATGAGTTGGGAAGTATTCCATCCTCTTCATTATTTGGAAGAACTTGCATAGAACTGATTACATTTCTTCATTAGGTGTTTGGTAACCAGTGAAATCATCTAGGTGTGGAGTTTTCTTTCTGACAAGTTTTAAAATACCGTTTCAGTTCCTTTGTAGATACAGGGGTGTTTTGTTTCTCCTTGAATGAGTGTTGGTGATTTGTGTCTTTCAAGGAATTTGTCTAAGCTGTGGACATTAATGGCATAAAGTTGTTCATAATAATTCCTTATTATCCTTCTATTATCTGTAGTGGCCATCTTTTTTATAACGAATATTGTTGATTTGTTTCTTCTCTCTTTTTCTGATTAATCTGACCAGAGATTTGTAAATTGCATTGGTCTTCACAAAGAACTAGTTTTTCGTTTTGCTGATTTTTTTCTCCATTTTTCTGTTTTATATCACTGATTTCCACTTGGATCTTTATTTTGTTTGTTCTGCTAAGTTTGTGTTAAATTTATTATTTCTCTAGATTCTAAAGGTGAATCTGAGGTCACTGAAGACCTTTTTTTCTTTTTAAATTTTGTAACACAGGCATTTAATACTATAAATTTTTTCCTAAGTACTGTTTTAGCACCATCCCTCATTTCGGTACATTGTATTTTCATTTTCATTTAGCTCAGAATACTTTCTGAATTCTTTTGTTTTGTTCTTTGATCTATGTGTTGTTTAGATATGTGTTGTATAGTTCATAAGTATTTGGAAATTTTCCTTGTGTCTCTGTTATTTCTAATTTATTTATTTAAAAAGTTTTTAACGTTTATTTATTTTTGAGAGGTGAGCTGGGGAGGGGCAGAAAGAGAGGGAGACACAGAATCCAGAGCAGGCTCCAGGCTCTGAGCTGTCAGTATGAGCCCGATGCGGGGCTAGAACTCAGGAACTGTGAGATCATGACCTGAGCCGAAGTTGGATGCTAAACTGACTGAGCCACTCAGGCACCCCTCTGTTATTTCTAATTTAATTCTGTTGTGGTTAGTGAACATTCTTTGTATGACTTGATCCTTTTGATTTCTTCTTTATAGCCCAGAGTATGGTCTACCTTTTAAAAGGTTCCTTGGACACCTGAAAAGAATGTTTATTTTGCTGTTGTGGGTGGGGTGCTCTGTAAATGTCCACTGAGTCAAGTTGGATAATAGTATTGTTCATGTTTGCTACATCTTTGTTGAGAGGGCTTATGGAAATTTCCAGTTACAATTATGGGTTTGTCTCTCTGTGGAGCTCTCCCCACTGTGGTGTTCTGTCCGGTACACTCCCGCTGTCTTGGTCTCCTCAGAATCCACCAGAGAATCTGCCAGGCTTTGCCTCATGTCCCCCTCCCTGTGTTACAGCCCTGAAACCCTTCCAAGGAAGAAGCGTGGGGACTCTTAGGGCTTACCTCTTTATCTCCCATCTCTTGGGGACACTGTCCCTTGTTGCCGTTTGCCACTAACCTGGGCACTTGCTTGATGTAATTTGTCTTGTTTTGGTTTAGGCAGGATAAACCCGATCCCTTTGACTCCATCTGGACGAGAAGCAGAAGTTTTCACTCTCAGCATTTTTAAAAACATTTTCCTGTTTGGGGCATCCTGCTGGCTCAGTCAGTAGACTGTGTGACTCTTGATCTTGGGGTTGTAAGTTCGAGCCCTGCATTGGGTGAAGAGATTACTTAAAAAAAGTCTTTAAAAAAATAAAGACAAAACAAAACAAAAGATTTCCCTCTTTGTTTTCATCAGGTAGTCTGTTGCCATCTCAACTCCCCAGCCCTCTTGTGTGTGTTGTGTTTCCTGCTCTGTAAGTCTTTAGAAGTTTTTATTTTTTTTAAAATGTTTGTTTACTTGAGAGAGAGAAGTGAAATTAATAAGAGTTGGATGTGGGGCGCCTGGGTGGCTTAGTCGGTTAAGCGTCCGACTTTCGCTTAGGTCATGATCTCACGGTTCGTGGGTTCGAGCCCCGCGTCGGGCTCTGTGCTGACTGCCAGCTCGGAGCCTGGAGCCTGTTTCAGAGTCTGTGACTCCCTCTCTCTCTGACCCTCCCCTGCCCACGCTGTCTCTCTCTCTCTCCCTCCTAGAAATAAATAAAAATATTAAAAAAAAAAAAAAAAGAGTCGGATGCTTAACGACTGAGCCAGCCAGGCTCCCCTAAGTTTTTTTTTTGTTTTTTTTTTTTAATGTTCTCACTTTTCCGAGACTTCTCAGTGATATGCCTTTTTGTAGGTATTTTTCATTTACTGCCGTAAGTACTCTGTGGGTTGCTTCTCCTCCCTGTTTTTATTTTTATTAAAAAAAAATTTTTTTTAATGTTTTATTTATTTCTGAGAGAGACAAACAGATAGTGTGAGCAGGGGAGGGTCAGAGAAAGAGGGAGATACAGAATCGGAAACAGGCTCCAGGCTCTGAGCTACCTGTCAGCACAGAGCCCGACATGGGGCTCGAACCCACGAACCGTGAGATCACGACCTGAGCTGAAGTTGGACGCTCAACCGAGTGACACCCAGGTTCCCCTCCCTGATGTTTTAATTTTATTTATTTATTTGTTTTTTTTTAAATTTTAAATGTTTTTTATTTATTTCTCAGAGAGAGACAGCATGAGCAGGGAGGGTCAGAGAGAGAGGAAGACACAGAATCGGAAGCAGGCTCCAGGCTCTGAGCTGTCAGCACAGATCCCAGTGCGGGGCTCGAACCCATAAACTGTGTGATCATGACCTGAGCCGAAGTCGGATGCTTAACCGACCGAGCCACCCAGGCGTCCCCCGTCCCTGGTGTTTTTAAACAGATAGAATATTTTATCAAGTTTTAAAAAGCAGAGCACACTTTAAAAACCCGGAACTCATCCTTGGTTTTGTATGATGATCAGTCTCCTTTTTGTTTGCGTCCCCCTCTGCCAGCAGTTAAGATGCAGCTTTCTCTGCTCTTCTGATTTAGTCACTATTCGTCCTAAGATTCTGTCCATGCCCCTAGTTTACTCTCACTCTTCTGTTGGGCCTTTGTGTTATTGTCACTTTAGGGAGATTAGGGAGGGAGTAAAGTGCTATGGGCTGTGTTTATATAGCTGTGCATGTACACACAAAACCCAGGCAAAGGAGCCGGAGGGGCCTACGGGCACGTAGCCCAGGGCCGGGCCAACTCGCACAGACATCAGCAGGCGAAGGAAGGGGCTGTTTGTGGGGATGACCGCAAAGGGGTGCACTGAGTCTTGGGCTCGCCTGTTGCCGAGGGCAATGCTGGCCGCAGGCTGGCTCCCGCGGGGAGGAGGGGGCACAGGAGAGCTGCCTTGTCAATGCCACCACCCCCAGTGAGTCTCTGCCCCAATACTTAGGCTCCTCTGGCCTCACACAGGGCTTGAGCAGGAGCCTATTGTTTCAGGAGCCAGTGACGTTTGAGGACGTGGCTGTGTACTTCACCCAGAACGAGTGGGTGATCCTAGACCCTTCCCAGAGGGCTTTGTACCGGGAGGTGATGCTGGAGAATTACGCAAATGTGGCTTCTCTGGGTAAGACGTCTCTCCTTGCTGTTGTCTCCCTCTGCTCTTTGTGCATCTGGTTTCTTCCTTAGACATTACGGCCTCTCTGACCCTCATGGGCGGTCGCTACGAAGGCTGAGCTCCCCAGAGGCTACTGGGTGGGGAGAGTTTCAGATCCTCAGGTTTTGAAACCTGCTGTGCCTCTGGCTCCGGGAGGGACTCTCCCATGCGTGGAGGGAAAGGGAGAGCTCTTGGGAGCTCAGTAGGGCCCTTTGGCCTCAGTCTTTCAAGTTCTTTGAAGAAGATCTGGGGGTGAATGGGGGGTTATTCCAGGACTCCAGCCCCTTCTGTGGGGGTTTTCTGTCCTCCGGATGGCATAGGCTGACTTCTCTTCATTTCCCTCCCTGGCTCAGTGAATGAAGAAAGAAAAAGACAGCCAAGAGGGGACGCTGTTTCCTGATTCCCTTTATCTTTTGTTCCTGTTTCTTTCTCCTGGGCAGCTTTTCTCTTCACCAGACCCGCTCTGGTCTCCCAGCTGGAGCGAGGGGAGCTGCCGTGGGGCCCGGAGCCCTGGGAAACTGCGGGCAGGGAAGCCCTCGGAGGCTTCTGTCCAGGTGAGCATGAGAACCTACCGGCTGCCTTTTCTGCTTGGCCCGCTTGCTGATTTTCACATTTCAGTGTGTATGAAGTGCTTCTTCTCTTGTGAGACTGTCTTCTTTCCTCTGGAATCGTTCCATGTGATTCTGCGTCCATGGTGGTAGCCACCCACCAAATGAGGAAGGCCAGTCTCCTCCGAGAAAGATATGGCTGTGAGATTTCTTTGCATGTTCCTCTTTGCCTCTCCACCTCACCCCCTGCTCAGGGATGCCGACTGACTCAGCAGCTGTTGAACCATGACCGCTCGAGTCCTGTCTTGTGGAAACAGTGAACTTTTCCGCCAGTTTGTTTTTGCGAAGATGAGAATGTCAACCATCTTGGAGGGAAAATAGACTTCTGGGATCTCTCTGGCCATCCACAGCTTCAGAGTACATTATTTATATGGGAAAAGTTTTTTGTAATGTTTATTTATTTATTTTTGAGAAAGAGAGAGAGAAGGAGAGAGAGTCAGCAGGGGAGGGATGGAAGAGAGGGAGACAGAATCCCAAGCAGGCTTCACGCTGTCAGCAGAGAGCCCATTGCCAGGCTTGAAGCCATGAACAGTTGAGACCATGACCTGAGCTGAATCCAATAGTCAGGTGCTTTCCCGACTGAGCCACCTAGGTGCCCTGGGAAATTTCAATTTTCAAAGAGAGAGAGAGCGAGAGCGAGCAAGGGAGGTACTGAAAGAGGGAGAGAGAGAAAACCCCAAGCAGGCTCCTCACTGTCAGCACAGAGCCTGATGTGGGGCTTGAACCCATGAACCGTGAGATCATGACCTGAGCTGAAACCAAGAATCAGACACTCAACCGATGGAGCCACCTAGATGCCCCACATTTTTTTTAAAGTAAACTCTATCCCCAGCCTGGGGCTCAAACTCATGATCCTGAGATCAACAGTTGCATGCTTTACCAACTGAGCCAGCCAGTCTGTTATGAGTTCCCAAACACTGACTTAAATAAAAATAAAAAATAAAATTTTATAATTTTAAAAATTATTTAAAAATAAAATTATTTTCCTAATGGAGATTTTCACACATATGCAGACACCAACACAACACACTCCGTTTCCCTTGCTTCTGCAGCCACCTGAAGCATGTCATCTTCTCCTCCACTTAAGAAAACTTTTATTTTAACAGCTGAACTTTTGAAGCAAAACTTGTCACAAAAGAAAGGTGAACGACTTCCTCATTTTGAAAGGTATTGATACAAAAATTAAAAATAACATACTGTATATTTTTGCCTCTTATTCTGTTTTACCCCTTCTCTGCCTATTAAAATTTGTGGGCTCTTCAGACTTCACAGAGAATGGCCATGAAGAATGCACAACTCCCTGGCTACTCCCAGCCTTGGGTTAAAATTGTGCCTTTCAGATATGATCCCAGGACTTCAGGCTCTCTGGATAAAAACAGTGTTTTCCAAACTGTTTGCTTCTTGACACATGAGGTTGCCCTGGCCTAGTGCTAAAGGTCATATTAGCCTGCGGAAGGCCTTCATAGCAGAGGGAAAATAGCCTTAGGCTTTCTCTGTCTGGTTAGTTTTAGGATTTCACGTTCCTACTGTCACATTAAACCGTATATACAGCCTGTACAGCCTTTTAGGAAAATCACAAGAGTCATTACCAGGTCCTGTCTGAGGCTTTTGTCCATTCTTAGAAGGGTTCTTCACATGTGCGGTGCTCTTTTATTTTAGAGGCAAGGCTCCAGATCTCCTTTCCTTCCAGCTGACGTGGTGTTAGCCCTGCGCGGTCCCCTGAGTCACACCGTGGGAGCCTGCTGCTTTACCAGAGCCACCTTCACCAGACAGAGATCATTCTCTTCTCAAAGATTACGACATGGATAGTGTTGTAAAACATAAGCAGCTCGTAAGGAGTTTCAGTTGTGGGACCTTTGTGGTCTGAGGTGCTTGATCTGCCCTTTCTTGAACCTGGTGGCCTTCCTCTGACCTCAGGGGCTCTAGCGGCCCCTTCTCTCTGTCTGCCCTCTTATCCAGCCCGTTCACTTGGGAGAAAGCCACTGGTCTTCCTGCCCTAGTAGGTAACACTCTTTGCTGTTTTCTAGTCTTTTCCCTCCTTGTGGGAATGCCTCCCGGCCTTGCTTGCCTCCACCCGTGGAGTCTTCATTTCACTTGTGGGGCTTTGCTGTGTGGTGACGTTTGGTAGCCATTTTGTGTGCGTATTAGAAAATAGCCACACGGTCAGGGTAGATTAGAACCACTTGCTCCTGTTTCCCCTTCAGCACAAGGAGTTTCTTTTTGCAACATCAGAGGCTGACACTTGTGTGTTTTTGTTTTTGTTTTTGTGATACCAGGGGGTGAGACCAGAGCTGAGAAGGAAGAATCGACTCCAAAGGAACACATTTCTGAAGAAACAGAGTCCCACAGACTGACGTTAGGAGGGCTGCTGGGGGACGTTCCCCAGCACTTGGACTTCGGGAGCAGCCTAGAGCAGCAGCAGGGTCACTGCACAGCTAAGAAGACAAAGTCAAAGAGGGGAGCTTTCCCAGACGGGCCGGCCAGCTCTCGCGAGGCCTGCACCGTGGAGAGTGTGGAGAAGTGGGAGCAATTTGGGGAAGACGTTAGTGTCGGCACACGACTCACTACGGATCAGGCAGTTCCTAGTGGTCAGAGATCATATGAATGTAGAAAATGTGGCAGATATTTCAGTCGAATGGCAGATTTTCAGGGATGTCACGCTGATGAAAGGTCTTTTAAGTGCAAAGAATGTGGAAAAGCCTTCAGATATAACTCATTACTAGTTCGGCATCAGGTAATTCACACTGGAAAGAAACCATTTAAATGTAAAGAATGTGGGAAAGGTTTAAGTTCGGACACCGCCTTGATTCAGCATCAGAGAATCCACACTGGAGAAAAGCCCTATGAATGTAAGGAGTGCGGCAAGGCCTTCATCAGCAGCTCCGTGTACCTCCAGCACCAGAGATTCCACACGGGGGAGAAGCTCTATGAGTGTAATGAATGTTGGAAGACTTTCAGCTGTAGCTCGAGCTTTATTGTCCATCAGAGAGTGCACACTGGGGAGAGACACTACGAGTGTAAAGAGTGTGGGAAACGATTAAGTTCCCCCACGGCCTTGACTCAGCACCAGCGCATTCACACGGGGGAGAAACCTTTCGAATGTAAGGAGTGCGGGAAGGCCTTCAGTCAGAAAATCACCCTGGTCCAGCACGAGCGAGTTCACACTGGCGAGAAACCGTACGAGTGTGAGGTGTGCGGGAAAACCTTCAGCTGGTGTGGGCGATTCACCCTGCATCGGAAACTGCACACGCAGAAGATACCTGTGCAGGAGTAGGGCCGTCTGTGGCGGGGGGCGCTGCGCCTCCTTGGTTCTCATCGTTCTCATGCTCTTCACGAGCACGCTCTTTACAGGGAGAAAGGAAACAAACCCCCAAAGGCACCAGCGTACAAGAAATGTAACTGGCTGATCCCTCGTGGGGTTAGTGGTGTCCCTGAGTGCCCCGCGAGATGGATGAGGGAGGGGTGTGTGGGAGGACCTGCATCAGAGAACACCACTGTGAATGATCAGGCTTAAGGAGGAGATCTTAAAAAGTTTCTAGACAAGACAAAAGATCAGGAATACAAATGCGTTGGGCTTCGTAACAGCAGGCTTGAAAGTTAGAGGACAGTGGTGTATGCCTTCCAAATTCTAAGGGAAAATAACTTCTGCCCAGAATTCAGCATCCTCAAGTGTGAGTTTAGTATAAGGTATTTCAGACCTTTTAGGTCTTGAGTGTTTTTTGCCCATGGATCCCTTCTCAGGTGTGCAACAGCAAAAAAGGAGTCAACCAGAAAAGAATGGACACCCTGTCACCATCTGTATATTAGGAGTCCCCTAAACTCGGAAACAAAGGGCCCTTGTCCGCGTGGAGCCGTGTGCACAGTGGAGGACATTCCTAGTAGGGTGTACATTTTCAGAGACCTACCTCAGGTGCAGGGCCCACCCACGCTACACACTCTTTAGTTACTTACCACCACTCAAGTTGCATTCTGTGCCTTTGCAGAAGTTGGGGTGTATGTACCCTATGAGTCAGATGCAAGGCCCTATCAAATTCATCCATCTCAATGCTGTTCTTTATCGTGGAAAAAGTGGCCATTATTTTCTGTTACGTGTGGACGCAAGGGGAGGTGTAAATGTGTTCTGTCATAGCATCCCTCTTTTGCAAGCTGCTTGATTTTACCCAGTACGGGAAGCAGAGTAGTGGGTAATAATACCGAGATGGGCAGACTTTGTTATGAGTCCAGGTGTGTTAGCTTGGTTAAGTTACAGACACCACTAATTTCCTTAGTAAAATCTGGATGACCGTCTACCTCATATGTTTGTGTTGAGGATTCACTGCATTAATACACGCCATAGTGCTTCGAACAAGGAGTAGAACGTAATAAACAAAAGTGTTATTTATTATTATAGTAACATTGCCGAGCTCTGGCTTCTGTATACACCTGTGAAGCAGTCACCACAGTCAAGGTTATAAATAGCCGCAACCCCCCAAACATTGCTTGTGCACTGCAGCTGCTGATCAGCTGTCAATTTGGATAAGTTTTGCTTCTCTAGGATTTTATATAAATATCATATTGTATGTACTCTTATTTTTGGCCTGGTGTCCTTTAACTCAGCATAATTATTTTGTTATTCACCCATGTTGCGTGTGCATTATATCTGGTTGTTTTCTCTTTTTCTTTTCTTTCTCTCTCTTCCCCTCCCTCCCTCCGTCTCTCCCTCCATCCCTTCCTAGCAGTATTACACTATGGATATACCAAAATTTGTCCATTTATCTCTTGATGCCCATTCGGGCTGATTCCAGTTTTTGGTTATTATAAATAAAGCTGCTATGAACATTTGTGTTTTAAGTCTTGGTAATGACATATGCTTTTATTTTTCTTGGGTAAGTAGGAGTGGAATGCCTGGGTCATAAGGTAAGTATATATTTACATTTTTAAGAATCTTCAAAACTTGTTGAAAAGTATCACTTTATATCCCTGCCAGCATTGCATGAGACTTACACTTCCAATACATCTTTGGCTATGCTCAGTATTGCCAGCTTTTAAATTTTAGGTATTCTAATAGTGTAATGCTGTCTGACGATTTTAATTTGCATTTCCCTAATGACTAATGATATTGAGCATATTTACATGTGTTTATTTGCCTTCCATTATGTCTTAGGTCAGGTGTCCATATCTTTTGCTTGTGTTTTTATTGGGTTGTTTTCTTTCTTTTTTTAAATGTTTATTTATTTTGAGAGAGAATGAGCACCTGAGAAGGGGAGGGGCAGAGAGAGTGAGAATGAGAAAGAGAGAGAGAATCCCAAGCAGGCTTTGTGCTATCAACATGGACCCTGACCTAGGGGTCAGTTTCATGAATTGTGAGATCATGACCAGAGCTGAAATCAAGCGTCAGAGGCTTAATCGCTTAATCCAGGTGCCCCTGGATTGTTTTCTTTCTTTTTCAAAAATTATTTTGTTTTTTGTTTGTTTATCTTGAGAGAGAGGAAAAGTGTGAGGGGAGAAGGGCAGAGAGAGGGAGAGAGAATCCCAAGCAGGCTCTACACTTAGTGCAGATCCTGCCTTGGAGCTCGATCCCCTGAATGTGAGATTGTAGCCTGAACTGAAATCAAGAGTCAGAAGCTTAACTGACTGAGCCACTCAGGGGCCCCTGGGTTTTTTCTTTTTGGGTTGTTTATCCATAAATTGTGGCTACAAGTCTTTTTTCAGATATGTGATTTCTAAACCTCTTCTCCCAGCATGTGGCTTGTCTTTTGATTCTCTTAGCCTTTTGAAGAGCTGAAGAGTTGAATATTGGTGAGGTCCAATATATGTTTGTTCTTTTATGGATTATGCTTTCAGTGTCATATTTAAGAAATCTTGGCCTTACTCAAGTTTATAAGGATTTTCCCTATTTTCCTTCTAGAAGTTTTATTTATTTATTTTTAGTTTATTTAGAAAGAGCATGTGTGTATGAGGGGCAGAGAGAGAGGGAGAGAGAATCCCAAGCAGGCCCTGTCCTGTCATCATGGAGCCTGATGCCGGGCAGGGCTTGATCCCACAAACTGTGCAATCCTGACCTGAGCCGAAATCAAGAGTCAGATGCTTAACTGAGCCACCCAATTGCCCCTTCTAGAAACTTTATAATTTTAGATTTTATGTTTAGATCTCTCATGTTTTTAAAATTTTTCATTAAAAGAAAAAAAATTTTTTTTTTTAAGAGAGTAGCACAGGTAGGGGAGGAGAGCAGAGGTGGGGAGAGAACCTTCCATGATGCAGGCTCAGTCCCATGACCCTAGGATCACAACCTGAGCCAAAATCAAGAGTCAGATGCTAAGCCCATTGAGCCACCCACGCGCCCCTCTTACTGTAGGTTTTATAAGTGTCAAAAGTTTGCCAAAGTTTTGGCCATTCTAGGTCCTTTGCATTTCATGGATTGTAGAATGTTTGGCAGTTTCTACAAAACATCCTCGGATTTTGCTTGAGATTGTATGGAATCTATAGGTCAATTTGGGGAGGGGGGATTCACATCTTTTCATAGTCTTTTGACTCAAAAAACATGGTAAACCTCTCCATTTATTTGGATCTTTATTTCCTCAGTATTTTGTAATTTTTACTATATAGGTTTTCACATCTTTTCTCAGATTTGTCTAAATATATAATTTTTTGATGCTATTACAATAGTAAGTTTCCAAATGTTCATTCATGGTATAGAGAGATCTAACTGACTTTTGTATTTTGGCCTTGTATCATGCCACCCTGCAAAACACACTTATCCTAATAACATTTTTTTTTTTTTTAATATTCTGTAGGGTTTTCTAACATTGAAAATCATGTTCATAAATAACCATTTTGCTTTTTTCCAATTCTGGGTTTCTTTTTTTTTTTCTTGCCTTATTGCTCTGGCTAGTGGCTGGGGATAGTGTATTTAGGGAGAGCCTGTCCCTGTGGCATTGGCCAGGTGAAGGATGTCCAGCTTCAGACTTTTAATTTTGCTGATACATGAGCAAACTCCCTGATAGCTGTAAAGGCTCAAGGTTCCCACCTCTCTGGTTCACCTTGCTGCCTAGCTGCCTATAGGTCAGCACTGCCTGTACTCTGTCCCTCTGGCAAGGCTGTTATGGGAAAAAACGGGACACTTGTTTTCTGCTCCCAATTTTCTCCTCTGATTGCCCATGATTCCAGTTATTCTCACAACTTGGGGATTTTTATTTGGGTCTATCAAAGCTTCCTCATTTATTCTCCCTACCCTATAATACCAGATGGAAGAATTTCATGTCCAACATTGTCCACCTTTCAAGCTAGATCTAATTAAAATTTAAGAAAATGTTTATTTTTGAGAGTGAAAGAGAGAGTGCAAGCAGGAGAGGGGCAGAGAGAGAGAGGGAGACAAAGCACAGAACCTGACGTGGGGCTCAAACCCGTGAACCGTGAGATCATGACCTGAGCCGAAGTTGGATGCTTATTCGACTGAGCCACCCAGGCGCCCCAAGCTAGATCTAACTGTAGTAACTGGCTAATACTTTTTAAGGATTTGTGATGCAGGTGTGTATGTGTGTGTGTACGTCCACCTATATATGTGTCCCCATCTCTAGATTCATAGTATATGTTCATTTTCATAGGTTTAGAGAAGGGACAGTGTGAAAATAGAAGTCCTCACATGCTATTGTCCCTGAAAATCTAATTCACTTATTTAAAACAATTGTATATAAGCTTTACAATAAAAATACCATAGATTTTATAAAATACGTGGGTTCCGTGATACGCAAAATCTCAGTGTTAGGCAGCCTCCATGTGGTCCCCGGTGACTGTAATCCTTACATTCATGCCCTTGCTCATCGCGTCTAATACTGATTATGACTGGCCTGTGTTGGTAGGATATTGAGTTGATGATGGTGTATGACTTCTAAAGCTAGGTCATAATACTAGCTGGCCTCGGCCTTTTTATTTTTTATTTTAAAAAATTATTTTCTTAAGTAAACTCTACACCCAACGAGGGGCTTGAACTCACGACCCTGAGATCAAGAGTTGCATGTTCCATCCACTGACTGAGCCAGCCAGGTGCCTCTGGCCTTGGCCTTTTGAATCGTGTACCTTAGGTGGAAACTTGTAGCCACGCTGTGAGGAGTGTGTAGGAGCTTGAGTGGAAAGGAACTGAAGCTTTACACCAATAGCCAGTACGAATTTGTCAGTCATGTAAGTGAGTTATCCTGGCGGCTCAGTCCAAATTTCAGATGAGTGCAGCCCTAGGTGACACCTAAATGGAACGATATGAGAGATCCTAAGCTCTATTTTCCAGCCAAACCACTCCTGAATTCTTAGTCCACAGAGATTTTGAGAAAGAATGAATGTGTGTGGTTTTCAGCCACAGTTTCGGGGTGATTATGCCCCAGTAGATACCTATTGTGTACTCTCCGAGACAGGACTTGCTGTTATAGTTGGTCAGTAACAGCCGAATTCCTGTGTAAGCACTCAGCCAGCCTTAAGGGTTAACTTGCTTCAAGTTAACACTCCTTACCTGCTGACCTCTGGCCCTTTGCCTGTAACAGAGCTAATTTACTTTCTTTGAGATTTGCAGACCACTGGGCTTGAGCGGTGAAGAACCAAAACCTTCCCAGGCCCCAGAAGCCAGTCTGTTTGAAGCCACCTTGGCTTTTTGATGAGTCCAGCAATTACTTTAGCAAACGATTTTTCTTTTTTAGGCCACGCAAATGATTTTGCTAACTTCCCTTTGTAGCTGTAGATCTTGCCCTCCTTTGCAGAAAGAAGACAGGGGTCACGAATAAAGAACCGGACCCCCATGCACAACCTGGAGCACGGAAAATGTTTGTAGCAAGTTTGCACGTGATCAAGAAATGCTAGAGGGCACTGCACTCCTTTTGCTGATTACCCCAAACCTCTTTAAAACCTCCTGGGCCGGGCAGAAACCTGGATTTGGGGACAAAAGTCTGCCGTCTCCCCCGGTTGCCTGCCTCCTGAAAAAATTCTCACATTCCTTTCCTCCGGCAACAGGCAGTCTCAGACTTGGGTTTGGTAACAAAAGGAGCAGAAAGTCAGAGCCAGACATTCAGGATCCTTCTATCTCCTAGCAGTGGGAGGCCAACTCCCCTCTACAGCGTTGAAGGGCTTGGTCAAGAGGACGCGTGTATCTGAAAATGTGTTCAATAAAAATATCAAAAGTCTGTTGATTTTGGGAACCACAATGGCAAGCCGAGGTCACTGGATTTTCAAAAGCTTGGTCACTGTTTTAAGGGCACTGATTGGCCTACTTTCAGGGATGTTTGCCACCAATTGGCTCACGTTCAAGAGCTTGGGCTGCCATTGAGTTGCTAACTTTCGTAGCAACCGGGCACCACCCAAGTGGTGTCATTGGCTGAAGAACAGCGAACCAAAGTTATGCAGATAAACGGTAATTACTTGAATATGAAAGACAGATTCATTTTAATCTGTTCATTCTCCGATTTTTTTTAACTTCGCTCAGCCAAACCTTCAGAAGAGACTGTAAGGGATTATCCAGATCTTTATTTGTGGAAGGTATGATCCCCCCCCCCCCCCCAGCCAATGTTTACATTGAAATTATGTGCCAGTTACTGGGTGTAAAAATACCTCTAAACTCCAGATTTGTTGGTAAATTTGGAAAAGCTAAACAGAAGACATTTAAGTCAATATAGAATAAAATCATTTACTATAGGACGTGTTGTGTATATAGAGTGTGTCTGGCAACCTTAGTCACCATTATTTTGGTAGTTAAATGAGTCTGTCCTAAAAGGCACCCCAACACGTGCAAGCCCCAGGAAGGGGGAGGGCTTTAAAAGGGCGGATGGAAACCATAGTCTTTTTTTTTTTTTTTTTAATGTTTTATTTCTGAGAGAGAGAGAGAGAGAGAGAGAGGGACAGCATGAGCAGGGGAGGGTCAGAGACAGAGGGAGACACAGGATCTGAAATAGGCTCCAGGCTCTGAGCTGGCTGTCAGCACAGAGCCTGATGCGGGGCTCGAGCCCACGAACCGTGAGATCATGGCCTGAGCCGAAGTCGGACGCTTCACCGACTGAGCCACCCAGGCGCCCCGGAAACCATAGTCTTCTTAAGAGCAGCCCAGCCTGGGCCTCTAAGAGGGGACACCCGGAGCCAGTCTCGGAGTAGAGCCAGCCGACAACCGACGGGCATTCCGTTAACTGCGGCCGCACCTGGGCCTAGAGGCTGCGGCGGAATCGCGCGGCGAACCAACCAAGAGGAGGTTTCAGCGGTCGCTGCGGGAGGAAGCCCGAGCCAAAGACAGCGCCGACCGCGGCGAGCCCACAGTCCCGCCTCTTCCGCGGGGCGGGGCGAATCACGTGGGCCGGACCGCGGGGACCACCGAGATGGGCTGCCTCCGCGAAGCCTAGAGGGGCCCTAGGCGCTCGGGCTCACTTCCGTGTCGGCTTGCCGCCGCCAGCGTTTAGGCGTTTGGAGGGGTAGAGCGTCGGCTCCGGCGAGTTCTACGTGTCGGGTCCGCCCGGCGCCGGCTTAATCGCTTTTCCTGGCGGCTCGTCGGCGCCTCCCTCCCTTGAGGTTGGGCCCAGTGTCGGCTCACCCCGCTCCCTGACGCGGAGCTCCGGCGTCCGGAGCTCGTCCGGAGCCGCCCGAGGTGGCTGCGGGGCCTTCTAGAGCCTTGGTCCAGCCCCCTGCCCACCGAAGCGCGATCCTCTTTTCTGTCCCAAAGAACTTGGCCCCACAGCCTCCCGCGCCCGCTACCGACGACTCTGTTTGGGGTCTCTGATTCCCTGGGCAGAGATCCCGGGCGGGTCTCCCTCCGGTCAGCGTCAGTCGCTGGAGCACTGAGTATTTTACTGTTAATCCGCATCTTGCTATCTCTGTCCCTTCTCTCCGTTGGCTCCGTTTTGGGGGGAACGGCATGGTTTCTGTAAGCGCGCTTTTGGGTTTCTTCAGACGCAACCGTGGGGATAGGATTCGTCTTGGGTCCCTCCATCCGTTTCGTGTGAATTGGCGCAGGAACGAACGTTTGTGGTCTGAGCAGGCAGAGAATTGTCCAGAGGACCCGAGCAATTCATGAGGCTGTGGGGCCATCGGCCACAAAGGAGCCTGACAGAGTCCCCTCCCAGTGCTGGCAGTGAGGAGACTGGGAAGGCTACAGGCGGCTGTGGGTGCTCAGGACAGGGTCCATTGCACTCATGGCTCTTCTCCTCTTAGCTCCTAAGGTTCTTGCTTTTCCAAATCAAGAAGGCAGTGCACGAAACCAGGGGACATCAGCCATGCTCCAAACAACCTGGCCTCAGGTGAGCTGAGCTTCTTTCAAGTCTTTTAAAATCACATTAGCTATCTGGTAATCAGGAAAGGCCCAAGAAGGTCCGACTTGGCCACGCTATGATTTCCCCCCCTTAAATGTATCTCCACAGCTCTGGCCGCCCACAGTGGTGGAGGAAATCAGAGTTTTGTGTATGAGAGTGATGGGTTTGGATTGCGTAGGGCTAAGTGGGAAAAGAGGCGCCCCAAGCTAAGAAGTCCTCTCGGAAGGTGGAAATGCATGTCACGTGCAAATTAAACTTGCCTGCTGACATCAGAGAAATTCTCTGTTGAAGAGATTGTCCCGCAAATTGTAGACGTGTCCCAGACAGACCCGCATGGTTCTTTCCATAGGCGCTTTGTCAGTGCCGCGTACACAGTGTTGGGTAACGCAGACAAGTTGCCTTTTTTCAGCAGGTTCTTTGAGCAAAATCGACAGCCTTTAAATAAATCAGTAATTACATGTTGCTAAATACGGTGCTTCTTGCAAGTGTAGTTGGCCTCACCTGGGAGGTCGTTAGAATTGCAAAATCCAAGGGCCCTGCCCTAGACCCAGAATCAGACCCAGGAGGAGGGTGTGTGGGGCCAGGAATCTGTTGTAACAAGCTCCTCAATGATTCTTACGTGCTTGCCTTTTTAAATTTGAGAAGCCCCAAAGAATCTCCCTCTCAAGGTAATGGTCAGGGAAGCCCTCATGGCAGAGGTAACGTGAAGTTGCGATCTCAAGGATGAGATAGAAACTGTTTTGGAAACTACTGAGGAGACAGCTAAAGAAGAGGTTTCCAGAAAGTAGGATGGCAAAGGCCCTGAAGTCAGGGAGAAAGCTGGGTGTACTCTACAGAGACAGGGAGAGATCAGAGGAAGTAGTTCACTGTGAGGTGGGAGAGAGAGGCTCATCTGTAAAGACTTTGGTTTCTATTCTGAGTTCAGTGGGAAGGCACTAAAGGACTTTAAGAAGGGTAGGTGACATTGTTGGATTTATGTATTAAAAAGATTTTCCAGGGGCACTTGCCTGGCTCCGTTGGTTGAGCATGTGACTCTTGATTCCCGGGTTGTGAGTTCAAAACCCCATGTTGATTATTTAAAAAATTTTCCCCCCAGTGCTATTGGTGAGTTGGTTGTAGAAGGATGTGAATCAGTTAAAAGCATATTGTAGCCTGGGACACCTGGGTGGCTCATTCAGTCAAGCGTCTGACTCTTGGTTTCTGTTTAGCTCATGATCTCATGGTTTGTGAGATCAAGCCCTACATCTGGGCTCTGCCCTGATAGTGCTGAGCCAGCTTGGGATTCTCTCTTTCTCTGTTTGTTTCTCTGACCCTCTCCTCCTCATGCTCGCTCTCTCTCTCAAAAATTGAAAAAAAAAAAAAAAGAAAAGCATACTGTAGTCCAGATAAGAGATATGTATTTTTAAATGTATATGTATTTTTAAATAGACTTTATTTTTAGAGAAATTTTGGGTGTATTAATAAAATGGACTAGAAAGCAGTTTCCATACACCCCTTGCCTCCATAAACACATAGGATAGCTCATTATCTTAAATATATAGATATAGATAGATTGATTGATTGATTAAATAAACTCTGCCCCCAGCATGGGGCTCAACCTCATGACCTCAGGATCAAGAGTTGCATGCTCTACTGACTGAGCCAGCCAGGCTCCCCTAAGAAAATTTTTTGAGTGCGATTGACACACAGTGTTACCTTAATTGAAGCGTACAACATAGTGATTTGACAAGCTTATACATTATGCTATGCCCACCGCAAGCATAGTTACCATCTGTCACCATGTAACATTATTACAGTGTCATTCACTATATTCATTATGCTGTCTCTCTTATTCCTGTGACTTAATTCATTCCATAACTACAAGACTGTGTCTCCCACTCCCCCCTCACCCATTTTGCCCAGCTCTCCACCTCTGTGACCATTAGTTCTCTGTATTTATAGATCTGATTCTGCTTTTTATTATTATTGTTTTTAGATTTCACATGAGTGAAATCATAGTGTTTGTCTTTCTCAGTCTGACTTATTTCATGTAGCATAATACCCTCTATGCCCATTCATGTCATTGCAAATGGCACAGTCTCATCCTTTTTATGCCTGCCTAATATTTCAGTGTGCATATGTACATGCATGTATATATGTGTGTATCTCACATCTTCCTCATCTATTTGTCTATTGATGGACACTTAGGTTGCTTCCATATCGTGACTATTTAAATAATGCTGCAATAACATAGGGGTTATCTTTTTTTGAATTAGTGTTATTGTTTCCTGTGGGTAAATACCCAGTACCGGAATTATTGGATCATATGGTGTTCTATTTTTATTTTTTGAGGGACTTCCATATTGTTTTCTACAGTGGCTGCACCAAGTTATATTTCCGCCAACAGTGCACAAGGGTTCCTTTTTCTCCACACCCTCACTAACATTTGTTATTTCTACACGTTATTATCCTTTGGTTTTGGCCGTCTTCACATGTGTGAGGTGATGTCTGGTTTTGATTTGCATATCCCTGATGATGAGTGATGTTGAGCATCTTTTCATGTGTCTGTTGGCTTCCCGTAGGTAGTCTTTGGAGAAATGTCTGTTCAGGTCCTCTGCTCATTTTCTAATCAGACTTTTTTGTTTTTGTTTTTGTGTTAAGTTGTATAATTTCTTTATCTATTTTGGATATTAACCTTTTAATGGCTATATCATTTGTAAATATCTTCTCCCATTCGATAGGTTGTCTTTTTGTTTTGTTGATGGTTTCCTTTGCTGTCCAGAAGCTTTTTATGTTGGTGTAGTCCCAGTAGTTTACTTTTGCTTTTGTTTCCCTTAGAAAACACATCTAGAAAAATGTTGCAATGGCTGACATCAGAGAAGTTACTGCCTGTGCTCTCTTCCAGGACTTTTATGGTTTCAGGTCTTACATTTAGGTCTTTAAACCAGCCTGAGTTTATTGAAGATACTGTCTTTTCACCACTCTATACTCTTGCTTCCTTTGTTACAGTTTAATTGACTGTGTAAGTGTGAATTTACTTCTGGACTCCTGAATTCGTTCCATTGGTCTCTCTATTTTGTAACAGTACCATACTGCTTTGATTACTACAACTTGGATAGCATCTCTCGAAATGTGGAATAGGGATACTTCAGCTTTGTTTTTCTTTCTCAGGGTTGCTTTGGCTTTTCTTGGTCTCCCCATAACCAACATTCCTCCACCAGAATGGTACTTTTGTTACAATTGATGAACCTACATTGACATATCACAGTCACCCACAGTCCACAGTTTACATTAGGGTTCACTCTTGGTGTAGAACATTCCATGGGTTACAAATTATAATGACACGTATCCAACATTATAGTATCATACAGGGTAGTTTCAAAGTCCTCAGAATCCACTGTGCTATACCTTTTCGTCCCTATCTACCGTTGATCTTTTTACTGTCTCCATAGTTTTGTCTTTTCCAGAATGTTATGTTGTTGGAATCCTACTGTATGTAGCTTTTACAGATTGGTGTCTTTCACTTCGTTTTATGCATTTGAGTTTCCTGTATGACTTTTCATGGCTTGATAGCATTATTCTTTTTAGCGCTGAATAACATTCCATAGTCTGGATATACTGCATTTTATCCATTCACCTACTGAAGGACATCTTGGTTGCTTCCCAGTTTTAGCCGTTGTGAGTAAAGCTGCTGTAAATGTCTGTGTGCAGATATAAGTTTTCAACTCATTTGGGAAGATCCCAAGGAGCACGATTGCTGGATCATATCGTAAGAGTACGTTTCGTTTTGTAAGAAATTGCCAAACTGCCTTCCAAAGTGTCTGTACCATTTTACACTCCTGTCAGCAGTGAAGGAGATTTCCTGTTGCTCCACATCCTCGCCAGCATCTTGTGTTTTCAGTGTTCTAGATTTTGGCCATTCTGATAGGTGTGTAATGGTGTCTTGATGTTTTAGTGCACATTTTCCTGTGACATATGAGGTAGAGCATCTTTTCATATACCTATGTGCCATCTGTATTTCTTTGTGAGGTGTCTCTTCTGGTCTCTTGCACATTTTGTAATGGGGTTGTTGTTACCTTTGAGATTTAAGAGTACTTTGTATACTTTGGTTAACAGTCCTTTAGCAGATAGGCTTTTTCTTTTCTTTTTTAATGTTTATTTTATTTTTCAGAGACAGAGATTGACAGAGTGAGAGCAGGGGGGGCAGGAACAGAGAGAGAGGGAGACAGAATCTGAAGCAGGCTCCAGGCTCTGATCTATCAGCACAGAGTCCCATGCAGGACTCAAACCCATGAACCATGAGATCATGACCTGAGCTGAAGTCAGATGCCCAACTGACTGAGCCACCCACATGCCCTGCAGATAGGCTTTTTCAACTATTTTCTCCCTGTTGGCTTATTTTCTCACTTACTTATGGTATTATCCTATTCTTTCTTCCCCTTCCTTCCTTCCTTCCTTTCCTTCTTTCCTCCCTCCCACCGACTCACCTATCCATCTATCCATCCATCCATCCATTCATTCATCCATCCATCTATCTATTTAAAGTTTGTCTGTTTTGAGAGGGAGAAGGGGCGGGGCAGAGGGAGAGCCAGGGAATCCCAAGCAGGCTACGCATTGTCAGCCCAGAGCCTGTTGCGCTGCTCAATCCAAGAACTGTGAGATCATGAAATCAAGAGTTGGATGCTTCATCTACAGAGCCACCCAGGTGCACCTTTCTTTCAGTGTTTAAAAGGAAAATTTGGTGCACCTGGGTACCAGGCTCAGTTGGTTAAGTGTCCGACTCTCGGTTTGGGGTCAGGTCATGATCTCACAGTTTCATGAGTTCAAGCCCAGCACCAGGCTCTGCACTAACAGTGAGGAGGCTGCTTGAGATTCTCTCTCTTTTCCCCTCTGTCTCTCCCTTTCCCCTCATGCCTTCTCTCTCAAAATAAATAAATAAACTTAAAAAAAAAGGAAATAAATAAAACATAAAAGGAAGATTTATTTGTAAAGTTTTATTTAGTTCAATACACTTAAAAGGAAATCACAGTACAATAAAAGATTTAAATCAAGGCCTCAGAATTTTATATAAACATTATGACTGAAATCTAAAAGTATTGGTATTGCATCTCAAATTTTCCCTGTTAATTTAAAAACTTAAATTTACATGCCTGCTAGGTTATTAAATGAAACTAGAATTAACAAACATGCCAAATGCTTCCCTTTGAACTGTAGACACAGTTCCCATTTTGAGTTTTACCAAAAACCCCGCGTGTCTTTAAATGTGCATCCAGTGTTCAGTGTAATGTGGTAAAAGAGCAACATTTAATAGAATTCTACTGCATTAACCTAAATACACTTACTGCTTACACACATCCTGTAGTACAACTGAGAAAAGCTGAAAATTGTTTAACGATGATAGTTTAACTCAATTGTTCGTAGGTGAATGTTTATATTCAAAAGAGGAAGCATAAATCTGAAGTATGGCCTTGTAATGTAGAGTTTAATTCCTGCTCATCTCCTCTTTCGAAACTTCTTTTTTTCAGAGTGTTTTGAGTAGTCTTCCACATTTACTTTTCCAGATGACTTTATTATTCTTATTATTTTTAAAAGTAGGCTCCATGCCCAACGTGGGGCTTGAACTCAACAACACTGAGATCAAGAGTCACATGTTCCACTGACTGAGCCAGACAGGCATCCCTCAGATGACTTTAAATGACCTCTTTTCTCTGCATAGATGTCATTGACTTTTTTGGTGGGAGAGTGGGTTTTCTTGAAATCCTAGGCACAATTGGACGTAATTGGCTTGTTTACAGATTTGATTCTTCCCGTTTAGAAACACTGTCTCCCCTTTATTCACTTTCAGTTTTCTTTATCTTCGTCTTGCACATTTTTGTTAGGTCTAGGCTTAACCATTTGCATATGAATGGCATCTAATTTTCTTCCATTTTATCTTCTTTTTTTTTTTTAAGGATTTTATTCTTAAGTAATCTCTACATTCATCATGGGGCTTGAACTCACAACCCTAAGATCAAGCATTGCATGCTCCACTGACTGAGCCAGCCAGCTGCCCACCATTTTATCTTCTAATTGTTAAGGTATTTAGGAAAACTAGTGATTCTGGTTTACTTATCCTGTATCTGGCTAACTTCGAGTTATCTTGTCAGTTCTAAATTTTTTCCATTTGTGGGGCACCTGGGTGGCTCAGTCGATTAAGCGTCCAACTTCGGCTCAGGTCATGATCTCACAGTTCATGGGTTTGAGTCCCTCATCAGGCTCTGTGCTGATACCTTGAAGCCTGGAGCCTGTTTCAGATACTGTGTCTCCCTCTCTCTCTGACCCTCCCCCAACTTTCTTCCCCCTCTCTCAAAAACAAACTTTTTTTTTTTAAGTTTTTTAATTTTTTTTTTTTTTTAATTTATTTCTAGGAGAGAGAGAGAGAGAGAGAGACAGCGTGAGCAGGGGAGGGTCAGAGAGAGAGGGAGTCACAGACTCTGAAACAGGCTCCAGGCTCTGAGCTGGCAGTCAGCACAGAGCCTGACGTGGGGCTCGAACCCACGAACCGCGAGATCATGACCTATGCGAAAGTCGGACGCTTAACCGACTAAGCCACCCAGGCGCCCCAAAAACAAACATTTAAAAAAATTATTTTTTCCATTTATTCCCTTGGCTCTTGGATATTTTTAGGCAGATAGTTACTTCATCTGCAGGCAAAGATGTTTATGCTCATTTCCTATGTGCTCTTTTTTCAGTCTTCTGCAGAAAGTAAAGTCTCAGCTCATGGTAAGGGATCAGCCATCAACTTTAGTGGGTATGCTCTGGTATTTTACTTATGGTGGCATTTGCTGGTGTTTCCTGACCCTCTTCATAACTTGAAAAAATTTTATTTATGGTCAAACCATTTTTCAAATTCGTCTAGCAAATTCATGTTAAGCATCTGGTACCTGCCAGGCACTGTGCTGTGTGTTAGCAAGCCAGTGACGAACAAAACTGAGTCCTTGCCTCATGGACCTCTGTTCTGCTGGGGGGGGCGGGGATCGATCATGAACAGTATAGTTTGTTGGATCATGAAAAGGCTGTGGGGAAAAATAGGGTGATGTACGCAAGGGTCATTCATAGGAGGAAGAATTAGTATATGCATGCCAACTTCCTTAAAGCAGTCTGTTTTCCTTTAATTATAGGCATTTTTTTTTTCATATTCTGGAACCCTGGGGACATTTGGGAGGAGCTGGGGAGGACAGTGGGGGAAGAAGAGATTGGTGGTGCCAGGCTGGGAGGAGGGAGTGGTGGGACCAGCCCTGGAGGCGCTAGGTGGTGGGGTTTGACCTGCTGCACGTGGAGGTGAACTTGGGCTCACCTGTGAGCCTCTACTTGCTGTCCTCAGAGGCCCTTCTGCTTTGGCGAAGCAGTGACCACCCTCAGGACATCATGGTTCTGCCTAGTGTGGGCATTTCTGGCTCGTATTTTGGGGGCCCTTTGGACCTCGTCATTGCCCAGTTTAAAGGCCAGCTCTTGCTTTGAAGCGTGTCCACATTCGTTCTTCTTTCAGTGTCTCCTTTTGAACCAAGTTCTCTCATTCTGGTTGTTTGAAAAGGACACCGTTGTAAGGACCTGGTGTGGAGTGCACAAACAGCAAGAGGGCCAGCATTTATCTTTGGGATACATTTCATCCCGCTTCCCCCAAAAGCAGTTAGTGTTCCTTCCCTTCTCCCTGGCCCTGGCGCCGACCCCAGTGCAAGGCTGCTCCCCAGAGAGAGGGTGGCACACAGGTTAGGGGCTTGTTGAGCCCCTCTTGGGAGGTCTTCTCGTTTTTGCTGGCTGCAAGAACAAGGCTGACTGCATGGGGTCCTGCGTATCTCCTAGGAAGTGCGCTCTAGGCGGGGGATCAAGGCGAGAAGGCACAGAGTCACGAAACCCCTACAAAGTGAGATCCAGTTTCTGTGGTCCCTCCTGTCCCGACTGTAGACACAGAGAAAGGAGCCAGTGGATACCATTAGGGACTGCCCTTGGGTTTCACAGAAGATTCAGAGGCTCTGGCTCCCAGGGTGGTGTGTAAGGCTTTGAAATAGCTGACGCCTCTGTCCACACTGGGGGAGGGAGTCTGTGTGGCTTGGTGGGAGCATGGTAGAGATGGATTGAAAGGTGCTGTTGGGAGTTAGGAGTTTGAAAAGCTGTTCTCCAAAGACGGGGCAGCACCCCGTGATGGTGAGGACCGGGGGTGAGCCATGTTTGAGGGGAAGCTCGTGAGCCTGGTATGGGAGGCACCCTGGTGTGTGGGAAGGGCCCAGGTTTGCTGTTTGAACTGTCTGGGCTGAAATCCCAGCTCAGCCAGTTCCTGGCCATGTGGTCTTGGGCAAAGTCATTAATCTTTCTCAACCTTAGTTTCATCATGGGAAAGCGCGAGTCATAATTCCTACCCCATATCTGTGTTTAAGATGAAATGAAATACACATTTTGAAAGTACCCACCTAAGAACCTGGTGCCAAGGGTCTTAATTCCCCCCATCCTTGGGGACACGGAAGTGGCTCCAGGGGGAGGCAAGGAGGGGCCCATCTTGGCAGAAGGGATGGAGCTCAAGACTGGGTGGGGGATGAATCTGTGCTCAGAGACGGGGCGCTGCTGACCTGCTCTGAGGATGGGTGGTCAGAGAAGAGGCCAGAACAGGCAGGCTGCAGGTTGCCCTCAAGAGAGCTTTCTGATCAGGTAAGGAGACATAAAAAGAATTTTGCAAAATGCTGGAAACATCTTTAAGGTGTGCTTCCTCTGTACTAGTGAAAGATGCTGGGGAAGACTAAGGAGACGCTGGGTGCTGAGAACAAACAGGGTGTGCGTTTGTTTGGGTGGGTGGTGACGGGGTGAGTGGCAGCGGCCTGCAGGGGCTGGTGTATAGAACAGAGGGCGAGGGGATTGTGGAGTACAAGAGGGTGGGAGGCACCAGAGGGACAGGGTCGAGAACATAGCGGTGGATGCAGTAAGCAGGCGGGGAGCCCCCGCTGCCAGGCTGTGAGATCGAGGTGACCGTCTGGGGCCTCAGAGCCACGTGGAGGGGAGAGCGTCAGAGTCTCCCATTTGGAAGTGGGAGCAGCGGCCGAGGGCTTGCCCCTGTGGGGTGCCGGGCGCCGCTCTTCTCAGCAGAGCAGACCTTCCATGAGGCGCAGAGTGGCAGACCCTGGGAGGCCCACCCCTTCCCTGCAGCCCAGACCCCTCCTCCGCCCTCACACACGGCTTGAGCAGGGCGTGTTGTTTTCAGGAGCCAGTGACCTTCGAGGACGTGGCCGTGTACTTCACCCAGAATCAGTGGGCCAGCCTGGACCTTGCGCAGAGGGCCCTGTACCGGGAGGTGATGCTGGAGAATTATACCAACGTGGCTTCCCTGGGTAAGGTCCCTCTCCGTGGTCCTTTGTGACATTTTAATGTCTTCCTCTGATGGTTTGGGTGTTTAGCTCCAGAGGTTGATTCTGCCGTCACGAGCCTCTGCAGATGTTGGGGGAGGAAACCCCTGGTTCCCTCAGGTTTTGAACTCAGACTTCCCTACGTGCCAGGGTAGGGCGTGGTTCTGGGCCCGGAGCGGAGGGGCTCTTCCTGGTGCCCTCAGTGAGCCCTTTGTTCTTCTATGCTGCCCTGCTCTGGGGGTGTTGGTTTTCTGCCTGTGGGGGAGTCTCAGGATACCCGGACCCGTGTTCTCCCTGAGGGCGTCTCTCTCTTCAGGTCGGGGCGAGGGTGCAGTTTCTTCTTGAGGAGAACCGCTGTCTCCATGCCATGCCTGGGAGCGCAGCTTGGAGCCCTTCCTCAGAACCCCTGGGCAGCTCACGTGGTTTCCTGGGCATCTCATTCTCCCTCCTCCTGTCCCCCCCCCCCCGCCAAAAAAACCTGTTGTGGAGTGGGCCAAGAGAGATCTCAGGAAAGCTCTGGAAGTCTCCCCTCAACTCTCAACTTGTTTTTCTCTCTTCTTGCTGGAGTAGCGTTTCCGTTCCCCAAACCTGTTCTGGTCTCCCAGCTGGAGAGAGGGGAAGCAGCGTGGGCCCCAGATCCCTGGGGAGCAGAGGTTTTGAGAGGCATCCGTCCAGGTGAGTAAGACAACGTAGCGGTTTCTGGTTTTGCCTTCCCAGTTTATTTTATATATTTTTTATTTGTTTTAAGTAGGCTCCACACCCAACGTGGGGCGTCAACTCGTGACCCCGGGATCGAGAGTCCGAGGCTTCACTGCCTGAGCCAGCCAGGTGCCCCTGCCTGGCCAGTTTATTAGATGTGGTTCTTCTGCAGCAGAGAGCGTGGCTCCCCGTTGTTTATCAGGACTGCTCAGTGCACCCTCTGACCCCTGCCCGGTCCCAGCCCCGAGCCCAGGAAAGCCAGTCCCTGGGAGTGCACGGCCACTGACCTCCCACAGACAAGCCGTGACCCAGAACCTCCTAAATCACTTCTCTTCTCATGTACCAGTGGAAGTACTTAATAGTAGGCCAATTTTATGCCAAGAAGTAGATTTGAGCCATACTTTAAGGAAAGTAGGATTCTGTGGGTCAAACCGAGTTATTTGTGCCACAGCTGTGACTTCTGTATTTAGGCCTTCAGCGGTGAAAAAACTGCCTCTTAACTTTCCTTTTGAGTATTTAAACCACCTGTGATGTCCATAAGTCATGATCGTTAGGTCTACGTTGTATTTGTCTCGCATACAGCTGTAGAGGGAAAGGCAAGTACTCCTCCCGCACCACTGCGCCCAACACACCCCCCCCTTCCCACACACCCAACACATACAGACTGAAATTTACCTGAGACCGCTCGCTGGGCCTGCGAGTTCTCGATAACTCGGATTTTCTTTCTTCTGGAAGGAAGGTTCCAGGCCTCGCTTGTCATCTGTGCTGGGATTTTGTCAACAGTGGTTCTTTCAGCTGAAGTGCCCCTGTGGCCTACAGCTGTCCAGTTCAGTTTGCGTCCCAGCAGACTTGCCGAAAGAATCTTTTGTCCCAGTCTATTATGTGGAATATTTAAAAGTCACTGGGCAATTTATCTGGAATTTAGGATGGCTTCCTGACTTCCAGGTGGGACGTTGAGCTCCAGTGTGTTTGGGTTTGCTTAGCAGCCTGGTGGCCCCCTGGTCGTGCGGGAGCTGCGTCTCTTCTCCCCAGGAGCGCTGACTTCCTTCTCTCTTCGGGATCTCTCCTTTCTCTCTCTCTCCCTCTCCCTTTTGAAACATTTCCATTTCTTGCTGATCTCTCGTATGTTTCCCATTCCGTACCCTCCCCCCCACCCCTGCCTTCTTCCCACCCAGAAGCCCTCATCCTTCCCCTTTCCCTTGCCTCAGTCCACCTCCCAGCCTTCCTCACAGGAGGCACTTCCCGGTCTGTTTCCGGGGTCATCGCTTCTCCAGCCGTACATTATCGTTTTCCTCTTTCTCTCTTGTCCTCCTGGGTGGGCGCTTGTGGCCATTTCCTGAGAACATTTTTCAAAGTCATGTTCCGCCAGAGAACACGGGGAGCCCTGTGTCCGCGCACTTGGGTAACTGGGAACACCTGTGGTTTCTTGGGCAGGCGGTGAGTCCCGGATGGAGAGCGAGGAGCCGGCGGTGAAGCAGGAGGGCTCTGCAGACACACAGGTGCACAGAGCGCCGGGGGGAGGACGTCTCCGAAACGTTTCCCAGCACTTTGACCTTAAAAGCAAGGCGACGTGGCAGACTTTCAGCCTGAATCCGAATCTGATCCTTCGGGGGGGAATGAAGTTCTATGAGTGTAAAGAGTGTGGGAAAATCTTCAGGTACAACTCGAAGCTCATTCGGCACCAGATGAGTCATACTGGCGAGAAGCCCTTCAAGTGTAAGGAGTGTGGCAAAGCGTTCAAGTCCAGCTACGACTGCATCGTACATGAGAAAAATCACACCGGAGAGGGGCCCTACGAGTGCAAGGAGTGCGGCAAGGGCTTGAGCTCCAACACGGCCTTGACGCAGCATCAGAGGATCCACACCGGGGAGAAGCCGTACGAGTGCAAGGAGTGCGGGAAGGCCTTCCGCCGGAGCGCGGCGCACCTGCAGCATCAGAGACTGCACACGGGGGAGAAGCTCTACAGATGCAGGGAGTGTTGGAAAGCCTTCGGCTGCAGGTCGCTCTTTATCGTCCACCAGAGGGTCCACACGGGGGAGAAGCCCTACCAGTGTCAGGAGTGCGGCAAGGCGTTCACGCAGAAGATCGCCTCTGTCCAGCACCAGAGGGTCCACACGGGGGAGAAGCCCTACGAATGCAAGGTGTGTGGGAAAGCCTTCAAGTGGTATGGCAGCTTTGTTCAGCACCAGAAACTGCACCCCGCGGAGAAGAAGCCCCTCAAGGCTCTTGGGCCACCGCTGAGGGGTCCCCAGCACCCCTCTGCAGCCCGACCTGCTGTCCCTGTGCAGGGCCCGTGCCCGGCTCCAGCCGTGGCCGTGCCTTCACTGACCCTTCCACGTGCTGTGCTCCTTCCTGCCTCCGGGCCTTTGTTGATGCTGCTGCCCGCATCCGGAATGCCTTCTTCACCTGTCCAGATAGTGTGTGTCTTCCAGGGCCTTCCTCCCACTGTGAAGCCTTCCCCAGTTATCCTGACCCCTTCCCCACACCCCTCGTGAGCTTCGTCTCGGCGCTTAATGGCTCTTAGGCCCGGCACACGTTCAGCCTCGCTTGTTTTGTTTGTATTTTTTCTCTCCGTTTACATACATTGCAGTTGCTTTCACATAAACTCCACTATAATTTATATATGTTGAGAGACTGTGTTTATATATTTTCCTGCAGTAGAAAGTGAAACCGACTTGACCTCTGCACTGGTCTCTTTCAGGCTTTAACAGTAACAGCCGCGTCTGCACTGTGGGGGTGCTGATGGTGGAAGTGATGGTGGGACACTTCGTTGCGTTAGTGTGTCTGGGAGAGAATGCCCCATCCCCCCGCCTGGAGCTAGGTCATTGCGATCGGAGCCACGCAGCTTGGGGGAGGCCAGGAGGCTGCCAGGAACTTGGGGCAGGGGTCCAGGGGGGTTGTGGGGGAGGGAGCGCTGGGATCTGCTGCCAGCAGTGGACTCAGAAATTCATGCAGATTGCTTAGGGGGCTAAGGTGGTCCGTGAACAGGACTGAGTTATGTGCCCTCATTGAGGGTCTCCTGCGTCTCTTGAGGGTCTCCTGCATCTATGCGAAAGGTCATGGAAATAACTGGTGGAAAACAGCATGTGTGCAATGATTACTATCATGTATGTGATTGAGAGCAATCATGTCTTTAAACACAAAGTGTTTCTTTTTTTTTTCCTTTAGTTTTAGTCTTGATATCCATCTAGATGTTTTTAACTTTTTCTAAGTAAATATACATGAAGGTATTCATCTTTGTTCCACGTGTTGTGTCCGTTTTTCCTGGTGGGCATTCTATGTTTCTGTTTGTAAGCTTTGGCTCTTGTATTTTATGTGCCCCAGATGGCATGGAGTGTAAATATGAATTTGATGAGCTATGAAAGAAGTAGCATTAGTGAGAAGCCAACTTGGGGGAAATCTGAATAAGCCTCTAAAATTAGTTTTTAGAAATAGAGGGAGCGGTATGACGGGTCAGTGGCTAAGCTTCTGTGACAAGTCATTGAAGTGGGATTTTGGGTTGTTCTTAGTTTTGACCTTGATGGGCATCTTTTACAAGTATGTAAAGGACTACATGAAGCAATTTCTGGAAGAAGGGTTTGAGTCCTGCATTATCAGCATTAATATAAAGTAACTCCTTAAATACTGATGGAAGCAGTCATATATTTTATTCTTTTAAGTTGCTGTTGCTACCTAGATGCTTCTCCACAGCAGTTAGCAGAAAAACCTTTAATTAGTGGTTCTTGAACTTTACCGCATGTCTGAATAACCTGGTGTAAAAAGAGGAATAATCTAGCTTAACTCCCAGAAGTTCTAATCTTGGATATTTGTGCTGACGCAGAGACATACACTGAGAGAGATGCTCTAAGCAGAAAATGGCTGTGGGCTGATTGGAGGTTGATATGTTAATACAGGGTGTGTGTGTGTGTGTGGGGGGCACTGTCTTATTTCTTAGTGGATCTGAGACAGAGAGAGAGAGAGAGACCTCTAAAAGCAGTGTAGGTGGTGTTGGTTTAGAAGAAGAGAGAAAAGCAATTGAAATATGGCCAGTGGGGAAAGAAAGAAAGGGTCAAAGAGGTCTGAGGTGGCTATGAGGCTGTCTAGAAGTCTCCAGTGCCAGAGGCTTGCAAGGGTTGACATTGGCTACCTTACGCTGTTTGCTTGCTGGCTGAAGTAATGAAGAAGTATTTTCTTATTATAAAGTTAATTTCCCTCCAAGGAGTTCTCGGGTTAAAGAGAGCACACACTGGCCGCTGCGGATGATTGGGAACTGAACAGTGGTCAGAACAGGATGCGACGGGGTCTGGGATGTGGCAGAAGGTGGTACTCAGAGCAGTATTTACAAGCTTGGATGCATTCTTCAGAAAATGAGTTTGAGGCCTTGAATTCAGAAAGCTGGAGACGGTGTTTGGAGATGGGAAACAAATTAACCAAAAACTAAAGACAAGAAAAACAGACCAAAAAACCCCAAAACAAAGTTGGCAAAAATCAGGTCTACAATAGAGTTTTTAGTGAAAATGGCAGTTGGACATGTTAGCATTCATGTGCTCCTGAAACCCCGCTACATGAGCAAATGATTAAAAATTAAAAGGCACTGACTTGCAAGGACGATGCTAATACGATGGTAACCGTTTCGAGGCTGGAAAGCGGGCAAAGAGCTGTGACTTTGAACAGCCGTACGGGGGCTGCTGAGCAGCTGTCTATGCGGCAGATTTCCCACAGCCACCTGGGAATTGAAGATGCAGGTTTCCATGGAAGTGGAGGGTGCTGGCGGGGCTGAGAGTAGAAGGTGCTAGGTCTTCACGGAGCACTTAGATTCTCAGGTCACCCCTCACCCTCTCTTCCCTGGAGCAGGAAGACAGGAGTGTTGGAGGTCAGGGGTGCCCTGTGAATGTCAGGTCCTTCTCCCTCACCTGCGAGGCTTCTGCTGCTGCTCCCATCCAGACTGCTGCCAGCTGGACTGGTGTCCCTTCTCAGCTGGAAATCAGAAGAACTTTCTTTGTTGAAGAGAAAAGAGCCATGATCCTGACATACCAGATTCCTCCACGAAATGGCTTTCTAGAGATGTTCCAACCATGCACGTAGAGCTTCTTAGCCAGGCTCCCCGCCCCCTTAGCCAGCCTTTTAATGCTCTGTTCTTAGATATAAACAAATAGCTAAGGGTGTGAATGAGGCTGGGGCAACGGAAAAGCCCACTGGGAACGGACTCTGCGGGAAGAACAACGTTTATTCTAAGGTTGGAGAAGAGGTTTGTGTCCGTGAAACAGCGTAGGCTGCTCCAAAGAAGGAAAATTCAGAGAATGAAACAAAGACCTCTTGAAAACTAAAAGTTGGTACCAGAAGTGAGACTTAGAATAAGCACTGGAAAATACAGTCAAGGGAATCACCCAGGGAAGCATAGCAAACATAGGGGTGCAGTGTAGGTGACCTAATGTGTGCTAAGGGAGAGAGGAAGAGAAAAACAAGTCCTAAAAGAGATGCTTGCAGGAAATTTCCCAGAACAGAAGCCCCAGGTCCCATGCCTTCAGCAGCATGTGTCAAGGGGAGCACGTTACCCAACCTCAGGCCTCCATGCCTCTGTGCATTCTCCCTTTTGTCTTCATCTCTTACTTCACCTCCTGAAGACTTTCCTTTGTTCTGCTCCCTGAAACGGCCTATCCTCTGGTAGCAAAATGTCGCGTATGTTCAACCTCTTAGAACATTGTCTGTATCTCTGTGCTCTGATCCAAACCTGCCTGTTCCTTGAGGATTCTGCTTTCCCAGCCTGACAGGGTGGGCCCTTTTCTTTCACATTGCTGATACCAGATACCCTGGATCCTCGTTGTTTCTCTTTGCCAGTTCTAGACCATTCTTTGCCCCTCTGCTCTCCTAAAAACCACCTTTGAATCTCATGTCATCAAGCCGTACTGCTGGGCTTCTGGCTCACATGCCATTATTTCTGGAAGCTTGTAGCTCTTGGCCTGCTCTCATTCTCTTCAGTATTCTTTTTTATTTTTAGGTTTTTAGGTTTTTGAGAGAGAGAGAGGGAGACTCAGAGAATCCCAAGCAGGCTCCTGATTCTCAGCTTGGAGCCTGGCGTGGGGTGGGGCTCAATCCCGTGAACTGGGAGACTGTGACCTGAGCCAAAATCAGGAGGTGGACACTTAACTGACTTGAGCCACCCAGGCGCCCCTCTTCTACTTTATTCTTAATCCTGGTGATCTCAATAGCTGATCCTTCCAGAACCTCACCCTCTCCTTTCCTTTGTGGTCCTGCATTTTACCTCAGCCACTCCTCTGATCAGATCCTAGACCTTGTTGCTACTGAACAGCACACTTCCTCTGTGCTCTCAGCACTGTGAGTATCTGGCTGTGTTATCTCTTTCCAGTGCATTCCCTTTAGAATCCTGATGTGGACTGTCCTTTGTCCTTCACCCAGCTTGAATTCCGTGCTCGTGCTTGACTGCTAGGACATTCTTTCACAGTCTCCCTGAACTCCCTGTCCTCTTGCTTAGTTGTGTTCACTTGGTTAACCACCGCCCCCTCCCCCACCGCCCTTGACTAAAGGCAGTTTTTTGCCTTCTCCGTGCCTGCACCCACACTGCCAAAAGTGATCAGAGAAAACTGCCATGCTCAGTCATTTCGCTTAAGTTCATGGCCAGTTATTGCAAGCAGGCCCTTAATGCTTCTCGACTGTCATACTATAGTTCTGGGGTCCACGTCGCTCCCCCACTTCTCTAGACCACTGTTCTGTAGCTTCTCTCTTCTGAATTCTGCAGTGTGTCCGTCTCCGTCCTTGGGCTCAGCTGATGATCGTTTCTGCCCCCTGCCGGGAGAACAGCAAGCCCCAGGGAGCCTGGGTGACCCCCGAAGACACGTGGAGCCACACTGGGCCCAGAATTACTGTGGCCACCACATCGTGCCCATCTGCCTTCCAGCTTGCAGTGTCTGGTTTTCCCCCACCATATCCTCAATCACTTCCACTAAGGCACATCCGTCTCTAAGGTCCATCTGCACAGCCATCCACTTCTGGTTCCCAACTCTGTCAGCCAGGGTTGAGTTGCTGACTGCAGAGCCACCTTAACTAGTTTTACGTGAAAACAGATTTGTTACATATTACTAGTTAACTTGCAGAATTTCCAGGAGAGAAACAAGGGAGGATGCCACAGTGGCAGAAGCCAAGAAAAATAACTAACAAGGACAGCACCTCATGGTTCAGTGGGAGCCCGGCAGCTGCGTGTTACTGGATGGTCACCTAACCCCATTGAAGAGAGCGGCCACCAGGAGGTTGGTTCCTACATATTCTGTAAGTACCCGCACAACCAATTTGGTAGGAGACCGTAGGGCTCCATGATCTTCTGTTTTCAAGGATGTACCTGCTGCTGAAGTTGATTATATGTGTACATCCGAGTAGCAAGGGCTTCTAAGAATCTTTGGATTCTACCGGGGAAAGTGAGGTTTATAAGGTGGAGAAGTCCTAAAGTGGGCAAAGGATTTTCAAAATATTTTGGGCAGCCATAAAATATCAGATATTAGTTAGAGGCACAGAAGATGGCTGAAATGACAGAAGGCTCACTATATTTGTGGGTGGGGAAGATCAGTACCATCAAGATTTCAGCTTTTGCCAAATGAATTTATAAAGTTAAAGGCAATTTCAACAAAA